CACACTCTTTCTATCCCCAGAAAAGATTTTGCGGACAGGACTTGAGCTAGTTCAGTAAGGTGTTCGCCTGTTTTTTTTTGTTGCTAGTTGTTTAGTGTGTTGCTTCGTTTCTGTGTAAATGGGCAAGCCTTGTGCGTATCAAATAAATAAGTAAATAATTGATGATGATCATGCCTTGGGTATACATGTTTGCAGGATAAATTTCATTGTAGCGTTCATTTGCTTGGTAGTGGCGTGATCTGCAATTTCCAGTGAAACCTCAGACAATCGCCGGGGGCAGGCGGGCACCGGAAAAATAGTTCGCTGATTTCCTGCGGCCCGCTTGCAGATATTTGGAAGAGTTTTAACGAAAGTTTAGACAAATGCTTGGAGAACAATCGCGGTTTTCTTATGTATTGCTCAGACAATCGCCGGGGGCAGGCGGGCACCGGAAAAATACATTGCTGATTTCTCGCACCCCGCTCGCGGATTTTTTGGAAAGCAATCAGGTCTTTTTGGAAGACCGCTTGCTGAGTTTTCGAATCCTCAGAGATTCAGCAATATATCTGCAAAAGATAAGAGCGAAAAAAATTCAACAGGCGGTCTCTCAAAAACCCGCTGACTCAGCAAGCGGTCTCCCGAAAAGTCCTGATTGCTTTCCAAAAAATCCGCGAGCGGGGTGCGAGAAATCAGCAATCTATTTTTCCGGTGCCCGCCTGCTCAGATAATCGCCGGGGGCAAGCGGCCATGCGAATTTTGAGCAAGCGGGCACCGGAAAAAATAGTTCGCTGATTTTTTGTGGTCCGCTTGCAGAAATTTGGAATAATCTTGGCCAATTTTTAGACGAACGCTCGAAGATCTATCGCGGTTTTTCTATACATAAGTTGCGGCACAGTGGCCGCATTCTCGCGGATTTTCCGCGAGAACATGCAAAATTATTGAGAGCCGCACGGTCCTTTTTGAAGGACCGCACAGCCCTCAGGTACTTTCCGCTGCAAAGAAAGTACCCCAAACTTGGGTAATAAAACCATCGATGGCACCTCTGCCACATAGAGTCTCATCTTTTCTCGGCGTACGCCCCGAAACTGCGTAAAAAGAGTCTGAGCGCCTGCTGAAAGTTTGGCCAGCGCTCGCTGATAAGAGATTGTTTGACGAGCGCTTGCAGAAAATTTTGTATTGATGCCCGCTTGCAGAAAACGCAAATACCGCCCGCTGAAGATTTGGCCACGCCCCGAAATCCTGCTGACCGCCTGCAGAAAAGCGCGAGTTTGCGGACGCCTGCCCCCGGCGATTACCTGAGTGCCCCCGGTGATTGTCTGAGTGGTTGCGGCGCAATGGCCGCATTCTCCGCGGACTTTCCGCGAGAATATGGAAAATTGTTGAGGGCCGCACGGTCCTTTGTGGAGGACCGCACAGTCCTCAGGTATTTTTCGCCAAGAGAAAGTACCTCAAACTTGAGTAATTAAACCACCGATGACACCTCTGCAGCACAGAGTCTCACATTTGCTCGACGTACGCCCGAAACTGCTCAAAAAGAGTCCGAGCGCCTGCTTGAATGTTCGGCAGCGTTTGTTGAAAAAGATTATTTGACGAGCGCCTGCAGAAAATTCTGTGTTGCTGCCCGCTGGCAGAACATCACACAATAAAGGAAGTACCGCTCGCTGAAGGTTTGGCCACGCGCCCAAAATTCTGCTGACCGCTTGCAAAAGCGCGAGTTTGCAGACCGCCTGCCCTCGGCGATTATCTAAGTAGGTGAGTGAAAATGTCGTGCCTTCTTAGCAGCTGAAAATTTCTCTCAACATTTCGTGTCGAGCCTAGCGTTTATTGAAAAATAGCACAAAGCGATTCTTCTAGTATACTTATGCATGTTGTTTCAGGCCTCGGACAGAGTTCACGCGATTTGATCGTCGCGATTCAATCAGGGTGACGCCCTTGTTGTAGGAGAAAGGCTTAGAATGTATGACTTGGGCACTCGTTAATTCGCCATAAGGTAAGACAGCCGAATGATGGCTAGAGAAGTGATATTGCCGTTTGTGCTCCACAAAAGTTTGGTTTTCGGGTTTTGAAAATTTTGTCAATATAGCAGGCGTAGAGGAAGATCAATTAGGCTTTTAAGTTTGAAACAAAACAAGGGGGGCTTCTCTTATCGTTAGTAACAATACGCGCTTTGGACCGTTTTTCTCAAATATAGTGAGCAATGCAGGTGTAGCAGTTTAAAGGCACCGTCCACTTTGAGTTGAGGGTGTTGAGGTTTTGGCGGCATATAATAGTAGGCCCCCCTATCAATCCAAAGCCTAAGTGGCGGCGCAAAATGCCACTTCGGAAGCGAAAAAATCGCTTCGGAACAGCGAAGATGCACGAAGACCCCCATTAATGCCCGCCCTCCCACATCCATGCCCGCCCATTTGTGCGCGCCCATCCAATCACCGTTCCAGAAAGCCTGCCTGTAGCTTTTCCGGAACGGGGATTGTCGAGTTTTAATGCATTCTCAACTTCATATTCGGAATCAGGGACATGGGAAGGCCCTGAAACGACAAAAATGGGAGTCCTTGGTGGACGGTGCCTTTAAAGCCTTCCGAGGTCAAAGTGAGTACAAAGGCCGCAATAAGGTTGTACATGAAGGCCCTACGCTTTCACTAATATTGCTTTATCTAGAAACTGCTAACGTTATCTCTATTATGTGACAGTACGATATTGTCACCGTTACGCAGAAAGTTACGATCTTTGCTGTAACCGTTTAACATGACATCATCAAAAAAATCCTTTATTGCTATTGGGCGGATCAAACCCGAAATGTTGGAGCAATCATAACAATAACAAAACAGCAATGGAAAATCAGTTCAGAAATCGAACTTAGTACTGAAAAAAGAGAAATTCAAACATTTATGGCCATTGACTACTGTATCGGTAAATTCACTGGAAGAAAAGATACTGATATGTTTCTTTCGAAATCAACCACCTGACAACATCTTCTTAATAGAGTGCGAGGTAGTGGAGTTAAAAATCTCTAGGTCAGAAAATCGAAATAAAGGGCCGTACAAGGCCTATAAGTTCTTGTCACAGTTTGGATAGCATTTCCCAACGTCCGGCATAGTGATATACATAAGACGTCTTGCTGCATTTGGGAATGTATCGCCAGCGTATTTCTCGTAAGGAGCGAGCTCGTTTCTGTTAAAATAAATATCTCTCGGACGTTGCTCTTTGCAGGCTGCTTACTTGATTACAGTGGCATTGACATGCTTTGTGAGTATCCAGTCCCAGCCTTCTGTGCCCTCTCCACATTTTGAGGGATCAAGATTCTTCCTGAAGGGACTCTCCCATCCTTCATCACCTACGGTCTGAAGTTTCCATCCGTGTAACATGAAATCATAGTCGCACCACCTGGAAATTGCAGTAGGCTTGAAGAAAATCCTCAAGGATTACTTACTTATCGGTCGTGTAGAATCCGTCGCGTACCCAACCATGTGTCCTCCCAGAAGCGAAGCAAGAAGCTGAAAATTGCGACAAAATTTGGCGCAATGCCACAGACTACGATACCTACATGGCGTATGTGTCGTGCGTAAAGCAAGCACTTGGTGCGACGAGAATATGGCCAGGAAAGCTCAGAATCTATAGGAGGGCACATGGTTGGGTACGCGACGGATTCTACACGACCGATAAGTAAGTAATCCTTGAGGATTTTCTTCAAGCCTACTGCAATTTCCAGGTGGTGCGACTATGATTTCATGTTACACGGATGGAAACTTCAGACCGTAGGTGATGAAGGATGGGAGAGTCCCTTCAGGAAGAATCTTGATCCCTCAAAATGTGGAGAGGGCACAGAAGGCTGGGACTGGATACTCACAAAGCATGTCAATGCCACTGTAATCAAGTAAGCAGCCTGCAAAGAGCAACGTCCGAGAGATATTTATTTTAACAGAAACGAGCTCGCTCCTTACGAGAAATACGCTGGCGATACATTCCCAAATGCAGCAAGACGTCTTATGTATATCACTATGCCGGACGTTGGGAAATGCTATCCAAACTGTGACAAGAACTTATAGGCCTTGTACGGCCCTTTATTTCGATTTTCTGACCTAGAGATTTTTAACTCCACTACCTCGCACTCTATTAAGAAGATGTTGTCAGGTGGTTGATTTCGAAAGAAACATATCAGTATCTTTTCTTCCAGTGAATTTACCGATACAGTAGTCAATGGCCATAAATGTTTGAATTTCTCTTTTTTCAGTACTAAGTTCGATTTCTGAACTGATTTTCCATTGCTGTTTTGTTATTGTTATGATTGCTCCAACATTTCGGGTTTGATCCGCCCAATAGCAATAAAGGATTTTTTTGATGATGTCATGTTAAACGGTTACAGCAAAGATCGTAACTTTCTGCGTAACGGTGACAATATCGTACTGTCACATAATAGAGATAACGTTAGCAGTTTCTAGATAAAGCAATATTAGTGAAAGCGTAGGGCCTTCATGTACAACCTTATTGCGGCCTTTGTACTCACTTTGACCTCGGAAGGCTTTAAAGGCACCGTCCACCAAGGACTCCCATTTTTGTCGTTTCAGGGCCTTCCCATGTCCCTGATTCCGAATATGAAGTTGAGAATGCATTAAAACTCGACAATCCCCGTTCCGGAAAAGCTACAGGCAGGCTTTCTGGAACGGTGATTGGATGGGCGCGCACAAATGGGCGGGCATGGATGTGGGAGGGCGGGCATTAATGGGGGTCTTCGTGCATCTTCGCTGTTCCGAAGCGATTTTTTCGCTTCCGAAGTGGCATTTTGCGCCGCCACTTAGGCTTTGGATTGATAGGGGGGCCTACTATTATATGCCGCCAAAACCTCAACACCCTCAACTCAAAGTGGACGGTGCCTTTAAACTGCTACACCTGCATTGCTCACTATATTTGAGAAAAACGGTCCAAAGCGCGTATTGTTACTAACGATAAGAGAAGCCCCCCTTGTTTTGTTTCAAACTTAAAAGCCTAATTGATCTTCCTCTACGCCTGCTATATTGACAAAATTTTCAAAACCCGAAAACCAAACTTTTGTGGAGCACAAACGGCAATATCACTTCTCTAGCCATCATTCGGCTGTCTTACCTTATGGCGAATTAACGAGTGCCCAAGTCATACATTCTAAGCCTTTCTCCTACAACAAGGGCGTCACCCTGATTGAATCGCGACGATCAAATCGCGTGAACTCTGTCCGAGGCCTGAAACAACATGCATAAGTATACTAGAAGAATCGCTTTGTGCTATTTTTCAATAAACGCTAGGCTCGACACGAAATGTTGAGAGAAATTTTCAGCTGCTAAGAAGGCACGACATTTTCACTCACCTACTTAGATAATCGCCGAGGGCAGGCGGTCTGCAAACTCGCGCTTTTGCAAGCGGTCAGCAGAATTTTGGCGCGTGGCCAAACCTTCAGCGAGCGGTACTTCCTTTATTGTGTGATGTTCTGCCAGCGGGCAGCAACACAGAATTTTCTGCAGGCGCTCGTCAAATAATCTTTTTCAACAAACGCTGCCGAACATTCAGCAGGCGCTCGGACTCTTTTTGAGCAGTTTCGGGCGTACGTCGAGCAAATGTGAGACTCTGTGCTGCAGAGGTGTCATCGGTGGTTTAATTACTCAAGTTTGAGGTACTTTCTCTTGGCGAAAAATACCTGAGGACTGTGCGGTCCTCCACAAAGGACCGTGCGGCCCTCAACAATTTTCCATATTCTCGCGGAAAGTCCGCGGAGAATGCGGCCATTGCGCCGCAACCACTCAGACAATCACCGGGGGCACTCAGGTAATCGCCGGGGGCAGGCGGTCCGCAAACTCGCGCTTTTCTGCAGGCGGTCAGCAGGATTTCGGGGCGTGGCCAAATCTTCAGCGGGCGGTATTTGCGTTTTCTGCAAGCGGGCATCAATACAAAATTTTCTGCAAGCGCTCGTCAAACAATCTCTTTCAGCGAGCGCTGGCCAAACTTTCAGCAGGCGCTCAGACTCTTTTTACGCAGTTTCGGGCGTACGCCGAGAAAAGATGAGACTCTATGTGGCAGAGGTGCCATCGATGGTTTTATTACCCAAGTTTGGGGTACTTTCTTTCAGCGGAAAGTACCTGAGGGCTGTGCGGTCCTTCAAAAAGGACCGTGCGGCTCTCAATAATTTTGCATGTTCTCGCGGAAAATCCGCGAGAATGCGGCCACTGTGCCGCAACTTATGTATAGAAAAACCGCGATAGATCTTCGAGCGTTCGTCTAAAAATTGGCCAAGATTATTCCAAATTTCTGCAAGCGGACCACAAAAAATCAGCGAACTATTTTTCCGGTGCCCGCTTGCTCAAAATTCGCATGGCCGCTTGCCCCCGGCGATTATCTGAGCAGGCGGGCACCGGAAAAATAGATTGCTGATTTCTCGCACCCCGCTCGCGGATTTTTTGGAAAGCAATCAGGACTTTTCGGGAGACCGCTTGCTGAGTCAGCGGGTTTTTGAGAGACCGCCTGTTGAATTTTTTTCGCTCTTATCTTTTGCAGATATATTGCTGAATCTCTGAGGATTCGAAAACTCAGCAAGCGGTCTTCCAAAAAGACCTGATTGCTTTCCAAAAAATCCGCGAGCGGGGTGCGAGAAATCAGCAATGTATTTTTCCGGTGCCCGCCTGCCCCCGGCGATTGTCTGAGCAATACATAAGAAAACCGCGATTGTTCTCCAAGCATTTGTCTAAACTTTCGTTAAAACTCTTCCAAATATCTGCAAGCGGGCCGCAGGAAATCAGCGAACTATTTTTCCGGTGCCCGCCTGCCCCCGGCGATTGTCTGAGGTTTCACTGGAAATTGCAGATCACGCCACTACCAAGCAAATGAACGCTACAATGAAATTTATCCTGCAAACATGTATACCCAAGGCATGATCATCATCAATTATTTACTTATTTATTTGATACGCACAAGGCTTGCCCATTTACACAGAAACGAAGCAACACACTAAACAACTAGCAACAAAAAAAAACAGGCGAACACCTTACTGAACTAGCTCAAGTCCTGTCCGCAAAATCTTTTCTGGGGATAGAAAGAGTGTGGCTTGTTTAGACGAATATGAAGTCATCACAGGTACAGAGGTTCGATGTCTGTTTCATGCCCTCTGTCTTCAGCAAAAATGCTCTTATTTAAATATAAGCAACTGTATATGTTGGAAACAGTGTATTGGTAGTAATGTTGGTAGAACCCGCCCAACCAAACTCTGGGGAGAGAACAGAACTCCGAGAGAAGAGGTTGCACAGTGCAAAAGTTTTAAGCCCAAACAAGCTAACCCAAGCATCAATGGAAGTGATGAGATGGAACCAGACCCAAACTAACGCGTGAGGTATCGTCGATTCCCCATAGTATAGCGGGCGGAGCTTTGCCGACGTTTGCCAACGTATACGCGTCTCAGTTTTCGATAGCTAAAGAGTACAAAAATTAATGGTTCATAATGGAAGTTCAACAAGTTCTTTAACGTGTTTAAACGTCTGCAGGGCCATGCCCGCTACATGCATGCAAATCGCCTATATAAATGTGTTAAAAAAAGCCAATCCACAAATGGCAATGATGTGAACCAATCCAATGAAGTAGTAGAATCTGATCTAACATAAACTACAATCCAACGAAACATTCGTTTTTTGCATTCCCTCGACCACAGCCAGTCCAGAGTAAACACCAACATGAGACAGGCCGAAGTCGCTTGCCACAGAACCGTCAAACGAAAAAGATAGTGAAGCGCATGGACAAAAGCGAGGGTCTAGAAGGAGGATCATTGAGAGATGAAAAATAAAATAGCAGCAAAAGAAAGAAAAAACGAAGTGCAAAGAAAATCAAGCCTCAGACAGCCTTATTACACCTCCTCCTGCGCAGATGGCCTTCATACAGATATTAAGTGCTCCCATTTTCTGTACAGTGGTGACTTTAGCGATTCCAAACTTGAATATAACATAGAGTTAAACTTGCTCTCTAAGACTAATCATAATGAATCAAAAGAATCACCCTGCCAACAACTGTAAGCCATAGAATCGGGCAGAATTTATTGACCAATCTTGTACCGGCTTTTTTTACAAACTGGCGCAGATGTTTAATGCACCTACACACTCTATGAGCTTTCCTGTATTACTTCTAGTGCGTGAAGAATTTGATATGCGGTCGTTTTGTAATTTGACCAGCGATTCAACAATTATCAGGTGCATAAAGAATGATTACCACGTAACTTCTTGTATAATTTTAGCGAAATCCGAATAAAGTCATCATTGCGCTTTTGCACCAGCAAGATTTCAGAAAAAATAACTTCACTGACTGAAAACACTGAGTACCCTGCAAGGTAAACAACGATTTTGGGGAGACAAGTACAACATCCGGCAGGCCTGTAAGAAAAAAGCTGTGGTAGTCCCTATGACTGACTGAAAATAGGTCCCTCATCAATAGATACCCAATCAATGAGGAAAACTGCACAAGAGCGCTCAGGCAACGGACCGATCCATGGGCCAATTCGGTACCCGAGCTTTCCCAGCGGCGGTACGGAACTTGTGCCCCGAATCCTATCAAACTTTGTGTACCGAAAGCTCTAAACCCGAATTATGCCCTCAAACCTCACTCAAATTAGCTTCAAACATTGAATCACTCAAAAATAGATTTTTTAGGTTCAGTGTTCTACACTACTGAAATTATTTATTTATTTATTTATTTATAGCAGGATAACAAACAACAAAGTAATTATGTTTGATTACGTCAATGGTAAGAGTTCGGTGATCTTTGGTCAGATCCGTCACTCTCTGTGATTTTTAAACAAAATTCTCATTTTGGGCAGATAAAGACGTTATCAGCATTTAGGATTCCAACAAACTCATTTCGTTGAAGCCTACAAGAGAATTGGTTACACACTCGCCTTCTGCATCTGCCAAAAAACCTATTACTCATATTCATATTCTTTCCCGCAAACTATTTTCCGCAACCATGTTGGCACATACTTATAAATGCTCTAAAATGAATTAGACGTCTGAAATTAAAAAAATCAGCTTTCTGCTAGAACAGTCACGAATGATCATACATGTGCGTAACATGAAAGACGTTCGAAATAGGCACAACAAAAAGTCGAACTTTAACGGCAAGGATAGATGGCCGTATCAAGCGGAAGTTGAATTATAATGAGCGAAATACTGCAAAGTATCAATTGCTGTCATCAACAGAAGCGAATGCTACAAGCCTTTACGTAAGAATCAATGCGCTTTACATACTTTGAAAGGAATGAAAAATAACATGAACGTTCATTAACATGATTTTTTGTTATTCGAATGAATTTCTTTGGTTGAATGGTCCTTAAAGACAGTGGGTCGGCAAAACTCAAAAGCTCAGTATTTCAACGCAGTGGGTTCCTTATCGCCCAAGTTTGAAAACAGTGCAATCCCGGTTGCACAGCATGCCTTCCCAGCCGAGAAAATTGCTCTCAAACTTACAAGCGCAGACTCATCTTACACGCATCCGGACGAGTTGACAAATTCCTTCTCATCATTGGAGGTTGCCCGCCGCAATGTTATAACCATTGGGTCCTGTAACAATTCAGCGTCATCAGCCTTGCTCCACTCGTCCAATTCCAAAAAGAAGGGCATTGAAAAACGCTTGCTTTCGCCGTTTTCAAGCTCTTAAAAGTGCATTTTCGGGATGAGCGTATCGAATAACCCCAGGTAAAAATTTCACTAGGTTGAGGTTTGCCGAGCCACTGCTTTTAACCGCAGTGCAGAGGAAAATGGCCAAAGAATTGTCCTCACTCAACAGAAGGTATTTGAGGGCTAACTTCCATATTATGTTTTAAACCGTTGACAACCGAGCCATTTACCACATTAAAGGGACCGAATATTCAATCCACTCCCCAGCAGCTACCGCGGTGCCTTGTGTTCATATGACTATCTGACCACCGGTATTATTACTGCATAGAAGTTACCTCAAATCCTTTACATATGAAAACCTGATGCATGAAAGTGCCAAAAGGGAGTCAGGGCGTGCATACGCGCACATGCACACGGGCTTCAACGTGTTAAGGGTTCTTCTACCTCTCTCAAAGAAAAAAAACAACATGATGGCCTAGAATGTTTTTAATGAAGATTATCATTATCGGCATCCTTACAATATTGCGGAGGTTGAATTTATCATAAAGAAATACACAAGGCGCTGCTTGCGTCGATTACTTGCTCTTTCGCATATGTTCCCGTATTTATGTAAAACAATTAAGACAATCAGCCACCGCTGCGGCATCCTTCTGCGGTATTTGTCCCTCTGCTTCTTGATCGACGATGTTGAACGTGTGCTTTGCTGCATTTCGCAATTCAAGACTAATGAGTGTGCATCCGCAGAAACTCTCTTGAGCATCTGCCCCTCACAAAAAGTGACGGTTGTCTATAGGAGAAAGAGAAGAAAAAGGGTGCAAAACAGATATCAAAAACAAAAGAAACTGCTAAAAGCGGAGAAAACGCAAATCTTTCATTTGGCGGCTTAATGCGGGTTTTCGCTTCAGGACCAGTAATTCGCAACACGGGGAAAAACGAGAAAAAGCTAACTTTTTTATGATTGTTTTTAAAAAAACCGTGTTTTGGAAGTAGTGGTTATCAAGAAGAAGATAAACAAGGAAGAAAACAGTTATGATTACACAGTTTCTTTTTCGCTAAGTCGAGATGAATTCTGTTTTTTTATTCTAAGTTCAAGGTTGTGTCCTCTCATGACCCTCAAAGTGAATGTTACCAGAGTGCATGGCTTTATGTATCAAAAGCATGTCGTAATCAGCATGCCCTCTTACCCTCCTGTGCCAACCCCTTCCCGTAGCATGAACTTTGCAAAGAAATCGAAAAAAAGAACAAAATTGATCTTCGCGCTCGCAGCGCATTGGGCTTGCGCTACGCTTGCGAGTGCAGGCCCGGGCATTTTGCCAGGTGCCAATCAATACCGCGGTTATCGGCTTCGACGTCGTATTTTTGGTGTTTCCGGTGGTTTTCTCGCTTTCTTATCAACGTTCATCTGATTTCATCATCCATTCTTATTGTTAGATGCTTGTATGGTTTCACTTTAGGTTTGCAAAATTCTCTTTGTTCTTTAACAAACACTCAAAACTTTTCATTTTTTCACATTTCTTCCAAAATTTAGCCTTCATTACAACCATTGGCAGAAACTATCTGCAACGTTATGGGCGCCGTTGGCTAATACTAGATGACACTTTTAACGTCACGAAGTATTCCTTCCGCTTAGCGACAATCGCTGCTGCGGATGACGCAGGCAACGGATTTCCCTGTGGGAACTTTTTTTCCTTTAGGATGACTACAGCAGAAGTTCGACTTCTTTTTGAACTGGTGAAGGTTTGCACTTCAGCTAAGTGGTTTTCCTCTACAATGCGCAGTGTAGGAGTGTGTGCCGAATCTGGAATCGCGATACGTTATGACGGATGATACATGTCTTCTACAATGCTAAAAAGGATGTGTTTCCAAATACCGGAGCAGAGAAGATAATTTGTTCATTTCATGTAAGCCAAACATTTCAAAGGAAACACAAGGAAATTTCAAGGGTGAGCGTGCCTTTCATTGTTACGCGTCTCTTCATTTTTCCTGCTGTATAGTGGGCAGATGTGGACATAGCGAACCGAATTTTCAACGCTGTTTTGTTTTAAAATGGGGTGACAAAGTTCGAAAGCAAATTTGCTGCATACATAACATGGCTATCATCTGTCGGAGCGGCTGATATGATATTGCTATGCTTGCTCCGAGATCTGTAGCACCTCAACAAATTATTTTCAGTACGTGGGGCGAAATTACTCGAAGACGGAAAGAATAGATAGGCGATTTGCTGTCGCCCCAACAGTCATTTTACCACATCGAATCACGTCAATTCTTGGCATCGGGTTGTAAAGCACGCCCTACTTTTGAATAAATAGAATGGGAGACTGGACAACCTAACGTACACGTTGCTAAGACATTCCAAAGATAGAAATTCACAGCTAATCATTTCGGTCAGAATTGTTGAGTTGTCAAAAGCTTCCTTATTCTACTGTTTAGAGCGTACGGACCTGACGCCTCCGGGCGCAATGATCGGAACGTATAGCGTCACAAAAAAGCGCTGAAGTTTTATCGCGAGAAGCCGGTAAATCTTACATCTTGCTCCACTCGTGATTACAAAAGCAAGACTGTACAGAACGCATACGCAATAACCGGAGACAATCGCTGGGCTGTCGTGTGCGAGTGCCGCACTGATCAAGTTTACAAGATCAGAACAGTAGAAGCTCGCGATTGCAGAGCCGAGGTAGGTCGTGCTTTTAGGATGCTCATTATACTTTAGCCTGCTTCAGCGAAACTCCCACTGCGAAAGATGCAACATTTGCGCATGTCGTGTGTGTTGTAACTGTTACGTAGCATATCAGGCTGGCGTTTGTTGTATACATGCACATGCTTTAGCCACGTTTTGTGAGAAAGGTAAGCTACAGCCGCTACCTTCTATCGCACATACCTTTATGCATATTCTGTCCGTCAAATGTTTTGCCCCATTCGCGTCAACACAAAAGAGGAGACCCCTTTGTGCAGCGTTTCGGACGCAGGGCTCTTCAGATGTACGTGGATAGACCAGAGGAAGATTCCCAAGTTATATCGTAAGGCGCTCTGTTGCAAGATAAAGTGGAAAACGCCTACCAATACAGCGAGGGAGTAAGTCAACCCGTAAAATATTCCTGCAGGTCATAAATAATGCTTTAGAAATTGTCGCAAGTCGGAGAGCTACGACACAAATTGAGAAAAGGGAACAATCGAACTGCTGAATCAAAATCAATGTGAAGAAGAGCTTGAAGCTCTGTTCAATCAGTCGCTTCCAAACTCTCTCCGACAAACACATTCACACGCGTAGGGCCGAAACCAGTCAAAATACAGACGCTAAAAACTGTATGTTACTTTTTTGGCTTTGTAGCGATGCAAATATTTCAATTTCAGAGATTTGCGCTGAATCGAGAAAAATCCTGCCGACGAAAGTTGGCTGACAGAAACGTAATTGAGGAGACGCGCCGTATTTTAGCAGTGGATAGGACTTTACTACAGACATATTTCATATGCGGCAAAAGATTTCCAGAAGAAAATTCCGAAAATGTTTTTAGGGTGTGCTACACCAACCACACAACTTGCAAAGCTTGGGGTCAGCTTGTATGCACTTCTGGGGTGGATACAACGTGTGCAGTCTGTAAAGAAGGGATGGCAGTACGAGGATGTTCCTTAGCCACTGTCCTTCTTTACAGACTGCACATCTTATGGTGCTTATTTTGTGCTTACGGTTCCCTTCTCTTTTCGTTACTAGTTTGTCACTATCCTTTTTTTGCTGTTTTCGCCTTTTTATGGTGATAACTCTGAATGTTTTTTCTGCTGATTGCGTTTGCTTTTTTACATTCTCGGTTAGCTTGTGCCTTGATACTTAGTGACTTGATAACCTCGTCTACTGTAGGGGTCATCGACTTCATGAAGCTGCTTTAGGGAGGGGGGGGGGGAGCTCATGCTGTATATATACGATCTACATCGAAATAGGGTACATCGAAATAGGGTTGCGCAAATGCTCATTTAGTTTTCGCGCAGTTGACAAAAATTGTTGGTACTTTGACTGCAAAGTCAGCCCTTCAAGTTCAATACCATAATAAAGATTCGAAGTTTAAATGTGCTCGCCCGCCCACCCAAGTTTTTTTATGCTCACTTTCATTACTTCGATCACATCATGACCAAGTCCTAATCTCACACTCTTTGATCTCCGCACTTCCTAAATGAATGGTTTTCGATATTCTAAATGTGCTGGTATCTGATGTGATAATGGTGTCTTTGTTGTGGCCCATCTTGATTGGATTTTCTGCCAGTTGTTCGTATCGGGTTTTTTGTTATTTGTAGGAATCCTGAATGACTTAATGACGAATCACTTGTTGCACACAAAATAAAGAGTTTTCTCTATTTGGTTCGTTAATTTCTCTTCTTCGGGGCTACGATGTTATTTTTGAATGAACAGTCTAGCGTACATCTAAATGTATAAGGAGGTGCCATGAAATGCAAACCTAATAAAATTTGGCCAGTATGATATAAGAATCACACGCTTTCTTCAAATTAAAGTTAACGGCGGGTACTACCCTTCGAAAGTTCAAGCTTTCTGAACTTTTACTGACAACATGCGTCTGGAATCCGTGAGTCGCTTCGTTTTTTTACAAGTCGTAAGCCCACAACTCACTCTTGACGAAGTAAGAATCTAATCCCGATCCCTTTAGATCGCACCCTCCTAGACAAATTGTTGGAATACATTCTCTAGACACTGTGGGAGTGTTTGATGAGTTTCAGTCAGATAGCCAAACTACTCCAAATATGATCAAAAAATAGTGCTGTGTCCTGAGTGCAAAACGGATAGCTAATTCACCTTTGAAACAAACTTAATCATGTTGGAAAATGACCATTTCACTTAGGTAGCCTAAAACCTTGAATCTTCAGAATTCGCTCAAACTTTGTCTACAGGGTTAATTGACAGGCAAATTATGGATATGATACGAATATCATGTTATCACTATTATCAAATCACCCAGCTACGACAACTCCCCTTTTGACTCCTCAATACGACCCCCCAGTTGTGGCGTGCCACATCCCACGCTTGACCCTGGTCAGGAGTCACATTCTGGCGAAACGAAAGCAGTGCAAGGGTCAGCTCCCGTCATTATTCCTGTTACTTCGCATCGTGTCATGTACCTGCGGCCACTCCCCCCCCCCCCCTCTTACACTGCCGCCGTGCTATTTCACCTTTTTAGCTTTCCCCGATTTCGCTACAACTGTCGTTGCTCTCTGGGTCATTGAGGTTGAAGCTTTTGCTTCTTGTGGAATTCTGTTTTCTGTACGTGGTTTTCCAATGTCTCTTCATTTACTAGAAGTATTATATTTTCACTTTAAGGCATCATACGCAGTTGATAATAAAGCTGTAAGTCATTGCCGAGAAAATCCTTGACTTCCTATTTACTTATAAGTCGGCATTTTCCTCTAACTTGCAATTGCCCTCTGTTTATATTGGTTTTTTCAGGGATGATCAAAACAAGTTCGCTTTGCGATAATTCTGGCTGCTCGTAAGGAGATACGGGCCTGTGATACGTATCAAAAACCGCCTCTAGTGCCACAACCCCTCCCCCTCCCCCGCCCCCATGAGGACGAGTGCTCAAGCAAGTGGCGCAAGGTTTTTGATGCTACTGGAGTTCGATCGATAATGGAGTGCAACTGAACCCATGCAGTTGGAGCTCTTCCCCGTTGGCAAGCCGAGGGGATGAACATTCCGAAACTCGTCCGCGCCCTTAAAGGCAGATTGACCTACCTCAGATTTTGACACAGATGGATAGGAGGCTCTCCAAGTGAACCAAAACTCCGCGCCGAAAATGTGAACTCTGCAAGCCAGGGAGCGGCCCAAGCGCCGCTCCCCTTCCTCCTTTCGCTCCCCTAACACCTTGTTCGGACGAGTGCTCTCCGCTAAACGGCGTGGGACCCCCAACCACTTTCCCGCATTGTGTATGCTATACAAGATTACAGGCAGCAGGGTCTTCGTGCCAGGGCCTCCCAACTTTCCTTTGAAAATTCTCGTCCGATTTGCCTTTTGGAAATTGAGAAAACGCCTCGAAAAAGGCCTTTTCACCCCTTTTAAAGCTCAGATTCGAGATCTAAGGGTCGAGAAGGCCTAAAACATGCAAAGAGATGGAAATGCAAAATCTGCCGGCACGCTGCCTTCAAAGGCAGCGTCTAGGCAGATCTGGACCTATGTGGTTTTTACGTGGAAAGTACTTTTAGGCCCTTAACTAGGGCGCTGCCCAAGCGGCAGCGCAGATAGTGCTCTAACGGCTGAGATATTACCCTCGAAACTGGACCCCGCGATCGTATTTGCATGGATTCATGGCAGTTTCGCGCCAGGATCCACGCTTTGCGCCATAAATCCATGCGAAATACGATCGCGGGGTCCTCGAGGAGGATATCTCAGCCGTTAGAGCGCTACCTGAGCTGCCAGTTGGGCAGCGGCTTAGTTAAAGCCCCAAAATTACTATCCACGTGAGATCCCCATGTGTCCAGACTTGCCTGGACGCTGCCTTTAAGACAGAGTCTCCGATATTGGATATTTTGATGGGTTTTGGACAATTTGAATTTTATGACTGTAGTCAGGGTCACGGAAAGACCGCAGAATGACAAAAACATGGGAGGCGAAATTTTGGATGGACGCTGCCTTTGAGGAATAACAGAAAGGAGCAATACGAATGTTAGCGGAGAATGACTTGTATGTTTGCTACTTATGGTATGTATCTAAGGTCAATTTTTGCACACAACCGGTTTTGGAGCTAAGAAGTATACCGGTGATGTAGTTTTTTGCTGTGCTGTCCCTCATCAGCACTTTGCAAGAAATTTTTCAAAAAATTCAGGCCGGAGGAGCGACAACTGTATGCCAGTCTTGAATGTCAGCCCAGGCTAAAAAAGTACGAGTCGTAGGCGAAAGTAAAAGCCTTGCGACTGTAGTAAGAGCTATGTGACTGGTATGACAACGACGGTTACATTTTTTGACAATTTATGATAATCTGCGGTACCTTCACTTTCTAGAATAGGAAATACAGGCATCATTTTCAACTTGTGCGAGAAACCTGGCGCTGTTGCCAGCACCAGTGAAATGCTACGAATTTCTTTGCAGAACGCGTGATGGAAAAAGATTCTTCTTTCAAGTGATCAAGTGTCGCCAACCATTTTATCCTTTGAAGTCGACATGTACGCCATGACTACAAGCTGAGAACGACTCCTCTACATCGAAACCTGTCAGCGAAAATTGAGTGCAGGTAATTATATCCGCGCTGTCTGCTCGAAAATGAAAAGTCACGGATTTGGACAAATGTAACTATCATCCTTTCATATTCATTCCACGCCACATATACGAGTACACTCAGGACGCCATGGCCTATGTCAGGGGTACATTTTAAATTTCAACTAGGCACTAGAAGTACAAAACAGAAGAACGATTATCGCTCAAAAATAGGGAAGTTTGAAATATAGAGCACAACAGTTACATTCATGAAATTGAGGGACCCTGCAAGTTTTTCTGAAATGCCGCATGTTTTGAGAATAGCTTCAAATGAAGGAAAAGCTTTATGTTCTATGAGGTTTGGATGAACAAAGGTGAGCTTGGTCAATTCAAAAAATATTAGGTTGTAACATAAGTTTTGAGACACTCTCATTAAGGCGATAATCATACAGTTCAAATTTCCCACAAGGGACCAGGACACCATTCGATAGAGCAAAGAAAGCTCTACAAAAACATATGCGAAAGTTCGCACCAACTTCGACTCACTGTAAATTTGCATCGAAAATCTGAGTCGTACTAAGGCTCAAAAAATCGCAAAATCATATCTTTGTTCAAAAAAATTCTACGAAGTTCCAACTTGCGCAAAAAAAATTGCACACTACATCAGATACTCATATATGCCGTTTCTAAATTTTTTTCCTCATTTAGAAATTGAGAAAACGAACATTTTCATGTTCGTACAAAAATGAATCTATGTTGTTTCCGCCCATGTAATTGTATACCACGATCCCTTAGAAGTAAAACCGTAGGTTTTTCAGCTTTCTATTAGGTCGTTCCATAAGTTCGTAGCGTTTTCATTTTCGTCGTCGTTTTCTAGGGAAGCAGTTGGTTTACGGCAGATTATCTGGTATCAATCGAAACCGCCAAGTTTTTTTCACAAAACCTGCTTGTTGTTTTTGAAGGAATCCTGATGATCTCTGATTCATAATTTCTCAAAGCAAAGTTTTTTGAGTGGCAGAAAATGGCCATTTCGGCACCTGTGCTTTTCGCATTTCGTCCATATCCCACAAATATTTCTCTGTATGTGTAGTCGGAGTAGCAAGTAGCAAGCAACGCTGATGTGATGACACAATGGTGTCCAGCCAATATGCTAAGAACTGCTTAAACGAAGTCTCAGAAGTTGCTGTCTTTGACTGCTGCAGCTTGAGTTTTACGCGTCGTTTCGTAACAGAATGTTCTCGTCCTGCTATCAAGCCTTGAGCGATGAACAGCTTTGTCCAGGTGGTGCAGAAGTTTGAATGCGTGACCAGCGATTTGACGCTTTCCCGGAAACTTTTGGCTTAGAAAATTTCCTCATTCCGGCCAAACGCAAAACATCTACACATACCGTAAAAGTGCGCTCTATCATTCTCTATAGCGTCTCCCTTGACAAGGATTCTTGTTCT